TTAGATGCTCTTTTATGTTTCATTATTATTATTTCAGACAAGTAACATCAAAGAGGTATGATAAGGTCATTGTGACATCTAATGTTTTAGACTTCCAGTAGTCTCAGTTTTACATGGCTGGTGTATGACAGCATTGTCAAAAATAACGGATTGTATTTTATTTCCATTGGAAATATATAACTGATCAAAACATGCCAAACAGCTTATTATACTCGGACAAAAGCTACTGCTTTTATATCTCAAACCTGGTCTCAAAGTATCACCCTAACCGACGGCTCCGCTCATCCCAAGACCTCCTGCTTTCCAGCTCCCTTGCCAACTCCTCCCATGCTCGCCTCCAGGACTTCTCTAGAGTCTCTCCCATTCTCTGGAATTCTTTACCCCAACCTGTCCGTCTGTCGCCCACCTTGACTGCTTTTAGGCATTCCCTAAAGACTCATCTCTTCAGGGAAGCCTATCCCACCTCAACCTAACGGCTTATCCATCACGTTCTCAAACAATTCATCCCCACACAGCTCCCTCCTCATGTATCACTGGCCCCTCCCTTTTAGATGGTAAGCCCTCAGGGGCAGGGCCCTCCTTACCATCTTGTCTTGAATTGTATTGTGATTGTAATATCTTCCCTATATTGTAAGGCTCTGCGCAAACTGTTGGCGCTATATAAATCCTGTATAATAATAATAATACTGCTGTGGGGTTGATCGTGTTTTCTCAAATGTCCCTCTTCTTCATCATGTGGAGTCAAAAGAGGTACCAGTGATTCATGTGTGTACTTTACAGTACATAAAAATAAGTAAAATGAAGGAGAAAGTAAACAAGGAAGGAAGGTAGGGGGTCCGACTTGGAAGAAACCACAGGGATTGAGGTCTTTTTTTTTTTAAAGTAGTACTGTTGGAACTTCTTGCACAGCCTCACAGAGAAACACAAGCACACAGTCTTTATTCTCTACCTTATTTAATACAAGGCCTGAGGCCTGGGGTGGGCATGGGCTGGTGTGAGAGAAAGGTTTCCCTGAGGCCTCCAACATGGAGGAGGCCTGTGCTGCTGATAGAGGAAGAGACCCAGGACCAATGCTGGCTCTTGAAGTACCCTGGAACTAAGAGGACTTCAGGAGCATGGCCATTGTCTTTCCTGGGATTGAGGTCTTTTCTTTTTAAAGTAGTACTGTTGGAACTTCTTGCACAGCCTCACAGAGAAACACAAGCACACAGTCAGATATGCATGCTGCACATGGCTTGGCTAAAACAGGAAGGAAGCCACAGCTTTATTCTCTACCTTATTTAATACAACAGAGAATCTACCATAGATATAACAGAACGCATAAACACACTGCCATCTAGTGACCGAAATTGTATACTGCAGGAGTTATTGCCATAGATACAGTAGTGTGTATTCTAACAAGTACCATCTATCTTTTTGATTAAAACAATATCTAAATATATACAAAAAGGATACAAGCAAAATAGAGAGGACAATATATGAATATGAGTGTGAATATGAAAATGAGAATAAGAGGGGGCCATATAGTTAGTTACAAAAAATGCCCCTGTACTCAAGCACTATTTGCGAATACCAGCCCTTTCCTAAACTCTTATGGGGTAATGCAGTAATTGAAGGTGCATACCATCACACCTGGGATCTGATTTATGCCTCTGTTATAAATAAAGAGTAAAGCTTGGTCCTTGCAATGTTGGCTTTTGCAAGCGAGTATCACAACTGGCACTCATTGGTTTATCTCTATCGGAGAGGCCATGAAATTATATTTCACAGCAATAGTAAGGGGAAGATTTGTAAAAACTGAACAAAAATAAATAACAGTTTTTGTCCATAATCAGAAATCTTGTTTCTTTTCCTGTAACATTAAAAGGTAAGATCTATTGATTTCTATGTGCTCCAATGTTGTTCTTAATTACTTTTGTTCTGTTTCTACAAAACAACTTCACAATACTCTTCCACCTTCCAAAAAGCCATTCTACGTATTGCAGAATGAATGCAGGGATCAGAACACCCCTGAGGTTACCACTTCTTGCTAGTGAACCATATTTAAGACATTTTCCCCTCATCCCAATGCTAAGAACCTTAGTGACCTATCAAACGGCCTGGTCATCGCGGCATTGGGAAAATAGGCTTTTGGTAGCATTCAAGGGGCACATCGTAGAAAGAAAAGGGGTCAAGCCAATATAAGACAACACTACCATTTTGAACTGACTTTCAGCATGTGCATTGGATTGGTCCATCTGAATATTTACAAAAATTATGTTTGCTTTTTTTTTGTTTTCTGCTTTTTTCATAGCAAACCTGGAATTTCACTTTACATTGGCCTAGCTTGTGCACTTTTATTATAAGGTTATAGATGAGAGAAATCAAGCATTTGCATTGTGTCCACTTACTGGATCATCTGGGCGAAGCTTTTTCGATGGAGGCCCTCCATCCTCTGGATGTAACATGTAATAAAGTCGGACTTTGTTGGCGTGTTTCTTGCTCTGGAAAAAAAAAAGGGTTGAATTTAGACGCTAGAAAGCCTAAAAAGCAAAGCAGAGATATAAAGCACTTCTGATGCTGTAAAGTCTGAGATATTCACGAGTTTATCAGGAGGCAGAACATCTGAACATCTGTTGTGGGTTTCTCAAGGTTGCCTTGTCATCCAGGCAGTGCGGCTGATTAATCATGTCATTTTGTTCCTCCCAAAAATGACATGGGGATGACACTTGCTATGTGGTGCTACAAGCATTATGCATTTTTTTTCCCCAGCCAGATGCATGCGAGCAGGCAGCGCCGGGTAGATGTAGGATAATAAACAATGATCGGTGAGTGGGAAAATAAAACACTGCGCGGAATGCTGGGTGACCGGCGGTATTAGCACATCTAAGCTTGTCCTCTGTGCTTGCTGTACAAGTCTGATTAGTGCTTGCTCTGAGCAGCCTACAAGCACAAGTGGCAGTAATAAATAAATAAGCAAATGCAAATGTGCTTGAAATGAAACAAGAGGCATAAAAAGGAAGACAAATATCAAAGAAGGCGGAGAATTAAAATGAAACTTGAAGAAGAGCAGCTGGGAGAAGGAATAGGAAAAAGGGAGAATATGACTTGCAGTGCAGCAAGTGCTAATATGGCACATTTATATCAAAGACAAGCAATCTGCAGCAATAGGAAGATTGCTTAGATGCTGTTACTGCTTATCTATCCTGCTTGTCTATTGCTTACACCTTGACTTTTTGATTTAAGTGTGTGTAAACCCAAACAGTGACATTGTCTTATACATTTAAAAACGTTTTGTTATATCTGTTTGAGAAGTGCATACAAATGCCCATTGATCCTGCCAAAATCCAGGGAAACCCCTTGTAGCCCCCCATCACCTTCTGTGATGTGGCTACCAGACAATTACTGGTAGCCAGGGCTGTAGTCAGCCTGGCTGGATTTATAGCGGCAATTATATGGTAAATTTCAGGTGTCTGACATTGCCTGGGCGGAGTGTGATTCTGTCGTATTGTGGGACAGCCAATGAGAGATACTGTAGTGTATGTACAGTACAGCAGCCAATCACTGGGTTTCTCTCTCAGTCAGTGGTGCATGATGGGATAGGATACATATACTGGTGGGATTTGCCATGTGCTCAGACTAGACAGGGCCAACCATGGAATAGGGCTGGGTGCTGTTCGGCTGCCCCCCAGGCTAGGCCTGAGGCCTGGGGGTGGGCATGGGCTGGTGTGAGGGAAAGGTTTCCCTGAGGCCTCCAACATGGTGGAGGCCTGTGATGCAGATAGAGGAAGAGACCCAGGTCCAATGCTGGCTCTTGAAGTACCCTGGAACTAAGAGGATTTCAGGAGTATGGCTGTTGTCTTTCCTGTTTGAGGATCTGTATCCATCCTGCTTAGCTGCTACTTCAGTTGCTGTCCGCTGCCTCCCAAGTGAATTTACACTGATACGCCAACCAGGTCTGGTGAGTCTGGAGCTCCTGTCATTTACCCCTGGAAGCTTAGAATCCCTATATCCTCTCTCCCAGTGAAGATGTTCAGTAAAACGTTATTCTGCATTTTACTACTGGAGTGGACATCAGTTTGTGGGCACTAGAAGAAAGGTGGTTAATGCTAATGGGTGGGCAGCCGAAGAACATACCCGAGACAGAGTAGAGATGAACCGGGCATTCAGCGGCTCCTTCGGGGGTGAGCGCTACACCCTACCCTGTTTAAAAAGCAGTAGTCTATCTGCAGTACACCCCCTACCGATTCAGACCTACAGCTCTGCAGTTATTAAAGTTCATGTCCCTGCTGACTGGGGAGCTTTTCAGAGAGACCTATGCTTCCACAAAGACATCAAGAGCAAGGGACAGGGTTTTTTTGCAGGCTGTGGCTGTTTTGACACAGCTTGAATGTATTTAGCCAACTAAAAGCTTAATTGGGCTTTGACCTTGTTGGTTTGACTTGTACACAGGGTTTACTATAAGTGCCGCTGCAGGTTGATTATTTAGGACCATAAAGGTCAATTTCATCAGAGCAACTCTATTTGGGCATCATTAACAGACATAGAGGATGTTTCAGAGTAATACCTGAATTGATTTTTTTTTTGTTCACCTAAGGCTCCATAATTAGATGAAATGTGGCCATTTCATTACTTTTTCCCTTTTAATGGAACGTTTCCATGTACGTGTAACACGTTAAGGTACTGACTTTGCATATCATGTTTTCATTTCTGAGCCTGCAGTATGAGCACAGCCGGTAGCAATTATACACTGTTTGATTAATAGAAATCAAACAGCCAAATGTCATACAGGCAGAAAGAAATATGCAAAGGAAACATTGCTTCTACTCCTATAAAATATGCTTATTTCTAGACCTAAACCACTTACAAATCGTATTAAAATAAAATCTATTGTTTACGTGTAGGGATAAAAGATGCCACAATAGCTGCAGGCTAAAAAATTACATGGTGACTAATGGGGGATGACTCACGTGTATGTTGTAATAGTTTAATGCGTTACCGCTCTGTTGCATTAAAAGAGAAGCCAAACCTTTTTTTTTGGCTTTAATTCTCTTTAGGGTCACAAGAGTACCATTTACTAATGTCCTCCTGTGACCCAAAGTCTTTATATAGCGGGCTACTGCTTGATATATGCTGAATGACTCACGTGTATGTTGTAATAGTTTAATGCGTTACCGCTCTGATGCATTAAAAGAGAAGTGAAGCCAAACCTTTTTTGGGCTTTAATTCTCTTTTGGGTCACAAGAGTACCATTTACTAATGTCCTCCTGTGACCAAAAGTCTGCATATAGCGGGTTACTGCTTGATATATGCTGACAGCACAGGACACTTGAAGCCTGGTACGTAATGAGTAATTCCACTTTTGTTGAGAATGCTTGTAATTTGGTGGTCTGATAACAACACAAGTCTAATACATTGCAGTACAAAAAAACATCAAGAGAAAGAACGGCGCCTTCTCCTCATGAAATAACGTTTATGTGTCCAAAAATAAAAACTGAATTAAAAAAAAAAAACCATCCCCTGAAGATGAAGCGAGGACAACGTTTGACAACTATAGAATGAGTTCATCATAGAAATACCCTCCCCATATATTTCCATTCACATTTAGCCAACAATAACAAGAGATGATAGTCAAAAGCCAGTGACATTAATTTTACATCAATCTCCTCCGTATTGTAATGAAAAATAAGTTTGTTCTGTATCTCGGATGTTGGCTGTAATAGAAGCCTCTACTGGATACAAAATTGCAAGGCAACGAAAGTGCTAATGGAAATAAATATGCATATTCAGGGTTAAGAGTCTTCAAAATAATAACGTATCAGTGGAAAGAACAAGATGATGATGGATGGGGTGCATCTAAAAGGAAAGTAGAAACATGGATTGAAGTGCTGTGCACAGAGAATAATCATAAATCTTACTGGTGGCAAAAAAAAAAAAGCAGCCAGCGCAGTTAAGTAAAATAAACACTTAATAAAGAAGTGTATGAGAATAAACTATAGTAGAGCTGTGCACACAAAATGGTGAAGTGCCAAATGAAGGTAGAGAAGCATAAGCTGAAAGCACCCAATATGTGTGGCGGATGTGATCAAATGTGCGGGGAATGGTAACGGGCAGAAGGGAGAAGAGTTGAGGAAGAACCTATGCTAGACTGATTGGCACCAGATAGAGACCCTAAGTGTTAACGGGAGTGGAGGATAGGTTTAGATGATAGACAGTGATAGAGTGGGGTTAATGAGGGAAGATTATTAGCACCGATACCTTTTGTGTCTGTGGGCTTCATACTTGCCAATCCCACAGCAACAACAGGTATCGCTGCCAACAGCAACGATTACAGCCAGCATCTAAGGTACAGAACAAATCTATTTTTCAGTAGAGTGCTAAGGAGATGATTGCAAATATTTATGTCACAAAAAGTAGCTAAATTGTGTAAGGTTTGAGAGTACTATGTAGATGTTCTATTCTAAATATTGATGTCACTGGCTTTTGGCTTTCGTTACTTTATTGTTGGACAAATAACATCAGCGGAACTTTATGGGAATGATATCTCTATGATGAACTTGATAACTGCATAAGACAATACATATCATGTGATCTTTACTTCACAATACATAAGATATCATGTGATCTTTACTTCATGTGGTTAAGCTTATAGTAATAATATGTTTGGTAATATTATTTTTGATCATCCTATAGTCTCTTATATATAGTAAGATGATTAGCTGTAGAAACAACCACAGACTTTTATAGCCGGAAAGATCTAATAATGTGTTGTGTATGTATGTTTTAAGGATAGTTTATTAACTTACATTTTCTTAATGATTTGTGTACTGTATTTTTGTATGCTAGCAGTTTTTTGTTCTTTTTTTTATAATGATGTATATGGTTTTATTTCAACTTTTTTTTTTCTTAGCCCCGACGAAGGAGGACATTGGGCCCCTGAAACGCATTGGCTTTGTCTTTTGATTTTTTATCAAGGTTGATAAAACTGGACTTGTTATAAACCTGTGGAGCTCTCATCCTTTACATTTTGTTTAAAGGAGAACCATGGGGTTAAGGCTTTTCCCCATAGTTCTCCTTAGGGTAACGGGAGGACACAAACTTGCGTCCTCCCGTCACCCTAAGCTCAGTATACCGCGAGCTATAGCTCGCGGTATACTGAGATGGCGCAGCTGCTGCTCGCGGTATACTGAGACGCCGCAGCTGTAGCGGATCCCGACAATTGTGCCGGGATCCGCCCAGCTGCGTGACTGACAGCTGGCTCTGCCTATCTGGAGGCAGAGCCAGCTGTACCCGCCCCCTCCCGTTCCGCCAGTCAGCGCTGGCAGATCGGAGCGGGGAATCCAGCCCCTCCCCTGTCACGGCAGAGAGCCGTGACAGGATCGAGAGGTGAGCGAACGCCGGTATGTGTTCGCTCACCTCCCAATCTACTGAGCCGACCTGTGACACTCTCATTGTCACAGGTCGGCTAGAACTATGAGGTAAGTGAAAAGCACTCGCCTCATAG